ACAGCTAAAAACTGAAAGCTGCTGCAAAGGTCACCGCAGACATTCACTGAAACATTGTTTTATATCCCTTCCCAATATCCCTATAAATATGTTATATAAGTGGACATACTGCTCCATAATGACTCTTTTTTCTCTATGTTCTCTCATCACAGTGGTGGAGAAACTTTTGAACAGCAGCACGACATCAAAGAGGATCCAAGAGGAAGTGCATTGCCAGCATTCTTTAAACCTCACATCAGCTGTGCTGACACATTTCCTGAGTTAGAGAACCAAGGCTGTGGTGTTCAGTCATAAGTGAAGTCCGGTCTCACCTTTGTCCCACTAGAACACATCTTAGCGACTAAATTCAGCTGTACATAAAGATACCCAACCACTGCCTCATAGCATGCCAGCTACTCCATCTCCTCTCAAAAACGCTATAATTTCCCTTTCATCAATAACTTTAAACAGTGATTTAACATTAAAGCTGCTGATGAACTCTAAATGTAAACTATTATCACTAATCCCTCTGCTTTAGTTACTGGATCACCTCTGTTGTAACTCTGGCTATCATCACCCTGGAGTGAGATGACCGCTGGTGAAGTAGGCAGTGGAATCTGTGTAGGTGTGTACCTCGAAGGCCTGCACAGGAATGGCTTTGCTGTTTCGCGTGGAGAAAGGTGGAGGGGCGCACGGTGAGGACAGACTCATGTCCTGCAGAGCTTTCAAAGCCTGAGGGAACAAGGACAAAGAGGGGGGGTCAGTTAGGTCAGAAAAAATAAAAAAATAAAAGTGAGGAGAAATATATGACTAAAAGACACGCATGAAAAGAGGAGAAAGGTGTTTAAACAAACTGCTTTAGAATGCAACAATACGTTTCCCATTTCCTAACAGAGTCACTATTATCAAGTGTCTGGACATGCAGCTCTGACTGCACAGGAGCCATTTCCTCCTGAGCCACCCAAAGCCCCTCCTCATGGGTGAGAGGAAACCAGAGCTGGGGTGTTCGAACTACAGACACTCAGCTGTAGTCACTGTTCAGAGCCTCAGACCTTTCATAGGATTTTATTGGCATCTAATACAAAAATAAAATCAATAACACACAGTTGAAAACTGAGGTATATGGATTTTGAGCCCCAATCACTCTGATACACATAAATAAAATCCAGCGTAAATGACTTTGTGTAGAAGATAGGAATTGGTAAATATAAATCTAGTTATTCTGTGAAGACTTCAGAGGCTCATTGGGGAAAAGGAGTAAAAGGTCTAGGAGAAAGTTAAGGAGAATTATTTTTTTTTTAGTTGTATGGCAGTAGTGGCTCGTTTTTTATGGGCAGTATGCTGACAGGGAGGGGGTATGAGACGCCCGTGGCGAGGACTAAGGCCTCCATACATGGGTTGTGCGCGCTAACCACTGCGCCACGAAAGCACGCCCAGTTAAGGAGAATTTAAAGTAGGGCTGAAATTATATATTGTGTTATATTGGTTATTGAAACAGCCGTCAACTCTTCTGTTAATTAATCAAATTGCTCATTCAAGAGAAATGGTACACTAGATGAGGTCATTTGCTAATAGAATAACCTACTTTTAGCAAAATTAAGAAAAAAACTGTTCCAAACAACAAGTAAGCCTTTCCAGTTTAAGATAATAATAATAAAAAAAACATCTCGATATATATTTTCACATTTTTGACATTTAAAATTTTGATTGATTAAAAAAATAAAACTGTAGATTATAATCCACAACTAAAATAACTGATTGTTGCAGCACTAAGTTATAGGAGGAATGAGCTTTAAAACTCCAAACCTAACAAGCACAGGCGTATCTTTCTGATGGACTGGTGTGGACATATCTCCATCAACTTTGGCCTGGTGGGGACAGTCCCCACCAATAATCTCCGCATTTTTCCCTCTCCGCTCATTTACTTCAGCCAAAGGTAACAAAGGTTGGGTGGAGCTTACTGTGTTTAGAGCGTTTTGAGTCAGTGTTTTTTTTTTTCCTTCCCG